GAGAGGGAGAGAGGGGGGGAGAGAGAGGGAGAGAGAGAGAGAGAGAGAGAGAGAGAGAGAGAGAAAGAGAAAGAGAAAGGGGAAGAGAGGGGGGGGAGAGAGAGGGAGAGAGAGAGAGAGAGAGAGAGAGAGAGAAAGAGAAAGAGAAAACACATGGACATGGCCTGGCCTGTGCTTAACGAAACAATTTTGGTTCCATGTGAAAACAGTTATTTTACATACAATTTCAAGTGTACTTACAGTGATAGTTTATTCAGTAAATAAAAAGTAGATGTTTAATCAAATCAGAAAAACACAGCTCTAAAATAAATCAATGTGTTTGTAATTAGTTTGTAAAAGCAAACAAATCTGGAAGCTTATAAAAGTGTATTAAGACTGTCTTAGTAACAGATTTCTTTTAAGGATTTCTTTTAAGATTTCTTTTAAGGTCATAGGTTCTCGTAAATTGTTATAGTACTTCATAAAAATAATGACCGTGATCATTATGAATTGCCAGGTCAATGTGGTCAGATGGTCTTTCTAGGTTGGTAAATATCCTATTCTACTTGAGTTGGATAGGAATGAAACTTTCACCTTTCTTCTCAACAACTTTTGGAGAAATAACATCTCCATATTTAACTGTTTCAACCCTCAAATTGAAAAACAGTAGTTCATACAGAGAATTTTCATGTGATTTATCAAGCATTTCTGTCTCTTTGAACATTTTAAAAATTTATTTAAATGGCTTTATGTAGTAATTTTATAAAGCAAATGTTTGTATTTGGGGACTTTGTCAGATTACTTGAAACCTAGATCCTTAATATCACACTTTTATTCTTTACTCAATAGATTTTAATGTGCCCAGAACATGAAACAGAGAGAATAAACATGTACTGTGAATTATGTAGGAGGCCAGTTTGTCATCTCTGTAAGTTGGGTGGTAATCATTCCAATCACCGTGTAACAACTATGAGCAGTGCCTACAAAACCTTAAAGGTAGGACTTCTTTATGTTTGGAACTGAATTTTGATTCTTCATAACTTTATGTTTTTAAGTTTTTATTTATAAATTAATGGTGTATTATATGGTTTGTTTTACTAAAATGAGTTCACAATGTATTATGTTACTTAATGATCTCCTAATATTAGGTTGTTAGTATTTCTGACTGACAGTTCTTTGTAGTACTGGTATGGTAATGCTCAGTGTATATGTTGATGGCTAGACTATGTTCTGAACTCTGGGGAAAGAGAGAAGGGTGAAGCACACTTGATCATGATTCCCAAAAGAGCTCAGTGCCTGTGATAATGCATGTGTGCATAGGAATGACACCTGTTGCAGGATCGTGGTTATTTTAAGGCACTTGATTCTTGTTTCTTGTCTATTGCATTTGTATTTTGTTTGTTTTGGTGAGACCTTTGCCTGTTAAAACTGAATTGCTTCCTGTCAAGTTTATTTATGATCCTTTAAAAACATTCAAATTTGATAATCAACAGCAAAGTCAGTGGTATACTATTGTCTTTTTTTGTTTGTTTCATTCTTTTCCTTTAAACAATATTTTTAAAGAGTTAATTTATACATAAACCTACTGCCCATTCTGTTTCCTTCTTTAACTATACGTATATACATGTTTTCCCTATATCTAATTGCATATATGAATACAGTTTTATATTTTGTGTTTGCCTATGGCATGTTATGTCTTCCCTCTGTCTTCTCTGAAAATGTAGAATACAGGCATAATTATTTCATTGTTCTTGTCTATTAATTTTCTCATTTGTGTCATTACTGGGTCAGTTTGGATTGATTTTTCTTCTTATTATAGTTCATATTTCCTTTCTACCTTGGATACCTGCTAATGTTTGATTGACTGCCAGGCATTATAAATTTTACCTTTTAGGATACTGGATACTTTTGGATTCCTACAAATACTGAATTTTCTTTGAGTTTGTGATTAAGTTACTTAGAAACAGTTTGTTCCTTCTGGGTCTTGCTTTTCAGATTTGTTAGATAGAACAGAGCAGTATTTAGTTCTAGGGCTAATTTTGCCCAGCTATTGAGGTAAAACTCTTTGATTACTATTTCAGATGCCCTATGAATTTTGAGTTTTGTTTTTTTTTTTTTTTTTTTCCAGTCTGGCTGGTGGGGAACAGGCACTATCCCTAGCCTTGTATGAGCTCCTGGAATTGTTTTCTCTGATCCTTCAGGGTAGTTCTTTCCTTACACAAGTTGGTCAGTGCTCTGCTGAACATGTGAGGGGGAACTCTTTGTATATCTCTGGAGTTCTTTCTCTTTACAGCTGTCTTTCTAGTTTTCCTTGCAAACTCTGGCCTCCCTGTACTCCACTTCATCTCCTCAGAGTTCTTTATTAGCCCTAGGAGGCTGACAAACACTAACATTTAAGAACCACTATCCAGAGGAAAGCTTCTGAGCTATTTTGGAGCCCTCAAGAAATTAGACTCTGATTAGTTCTTAGAGAGCTGGGGTCCTGATTTATGTAAAGGATTTAAAACTGCTTCCCCCATTAGATGACTTTGATCTTCAGGGACTAGTACCAGTGTCTGGTGCGTATACTTTTTGGAGGCTTATGAATAAATGGACATACTGATTCTTGGTCTAGTCTTTAAAAACAAACTGCCTAGGCTTGAGGGGGCTATGGTGACTGGAGCTGTCTCAGATAAAGACTATAGTTGGCCAGAGACTTTGTCTAAGTATTAAAACTCAATTCTGTCTTCTACTCTTCTCTGGTCCTTACCCTTGGAGTCAATTAACTCATCTTAACCTGCCTAGTACTTCTAACTTAAGCTGTTTTAGAAGCCTTACTTCAATTTCAGTGGCCAAATTCATCTCTTTAGTACTGTAGTTAAAAATGAGGACCACCATCTGCATTTAGTACTTCTGGTCCCAGCATGGGCCCGAGAGGGACAGTATTAGAAGAACTGTCATTTTACTTGAAGCTCGGTGCTGAAGAAGTACATCTCAGTGGAATAGTGGTTAGTGTACTATGCAGTGAGTAGGTTTCTGGTTCAGCTGCTATGTGATATTTATACTCTGTGAGCTTTGGTTTCCTCATCTGTACCATGCTGGTTTAAGACACAAGATATTATGTCTCTTCCTACCATTGACAGTTTGACATTAGAATTTCTTTCTTGGCCTCATTCTGCCATTAGTACCAGAAATCTCTCTCCACTTCACAGGTCCTTCACTCTTCTACCTCACAGATCCCTCTACCTTCACAGGTCCTGAGGCAGTCCTAAGAATATCTCTAGTAAGCCATTTAGGAGACTCGCTGTGTCTGCCTGCTGAGTGATCTTCTGAAATAAAATGGGTCCTGCCAAAGCCCTATTACTTTTATTTTTCCATATGTTCTCTTATCTTGTTACATGGTCTTAGTAAAGAAAAAAAAAAAGGAAGATGGTGTAGGTAGGAGACACATTTGTTAATGTCCTAACTACCCCTCTTTTTTTTCTTATGTGCTCTTTTCATTTCAGGTCATCAGTGGTAACTGAGAGTCTGAAATGCTCAGATCCTCCTTTCAAGGCTACAACTTGAGAGGTGTCTTCTGGATGTTTGTATTTTTATTTAGACACTGAATGCATTTGTCTATTATAACTAACTTTTTACCCCATAGGACTTCAGAGCTGTTGCTTTTGTTTTTAAATGTAATTCGGGTATATTATAAAGTATGTTTTCTGGGAAAGACTAGAGATCTCACCAAAACCTGTGATATTATTTCTGTGGGAAAATATACTGATTTTGAAATTAATACTTTATAAACAAGTTGTTTACTAAGTTCTAGAAATTGTCCTTTAAAAAAAATAAATCTGTGTTTTTATTATTGTGTAATTACTTAGTGAATAGACTGGTTAAGATTATTTTGCAAAACTATTGCTATTTCTGTTGTATATATGTGGGTGTTTGTGAGAGTAAATTATAAAATCTGATGGAAGACAATACTGTTTGAATTGTTGCCTTTGCATTTACTTAGAAACCTAGGTGTAAAGGAGGAGGAGTTCTGGAAGTGATAATGAAACCACAGATATTGTGTATTCAGAAGTTTTGACTAATATAGGCATCATCATCTTGTTCTTTTTTCCAACTTGTTTTTAATCTTCCAGATATTTTTGCCCTGTGTGCTTAAGTCCAGTAACTGTTTACCCTGGATTAATAATGATAATCACCACAGTTGATTTTACTGTTTATCATAGGCTATAGAAGAGGATGAGTACTATATAATTTTTTAAAAAAAACCTTCTACAACGTGTTTGTTAAACTTCTATTTCTGTCCATTGGGTTTCAACAGGAAAAGCTTTCAAAGGATATCGATTACCTTATTGGTAAGGAAAGCCAAGTGAAGAGTCAGATTTCTGAACTAAATTTGTTAATGAAAGAAACAGAGGTAAGTGATAAACTGGCTTGCATATATTATTTTATCTAAACATTCATTCATTTATTTATTCATAAAGTCCTGAGGGTATTATATAAGCTGGGAAGACAAAGTTGTTTTAGATCTCACTCCTTTTCTGGGACTAGGGAAACAAATGTGAAAAATAAGTTAAATGCTATGCGATCGGTGCTACAATAGAGGTAATGATTAAGTGGTATTGGGACACAGGAAAGAATGACTAACTCATTAGTGGCCATTATAATAAGGTCTCAAAAGTAGTAATGTAAGGGAAATGATAGCTTTCTTATTACTCATATTTTTAGAAGTAAAAAGATTGCTTTTGAAAAGCATACTATATATGGACAGAACCAGGTTTATTTAAAATTGTAGGTATTCCTGAGTATATACCCTGCATATGTCCACCAAAAGACGTGTATTAGAATGTTCATGGCTGCCTTGTTTGTAACAGCCACAAAGTGGAAACTACCCAAATGCCCATCAATAGTGGAATATACATAGCAGTAAGATTGAATGATTTGCATACAACAGTGTAATCTTGCAAATAATATTGAAAGGAAGATACCAGTCACAAAGGAGGTCATACTATGCAAAGACATTTATAAGAAGTACCAAACAGGTGAAACTAGATTATTTTGTTAGAATTGAGGAGGCATGGAGTAGTGTTTAAAAAGGTTTTAATGTGACTTCTGGGATATGAGTAATGTTCTTTTAGCTCATCTGAATTCTCTGCCAGATACTGCTTGGTGTTTATAAAGACCTAGTGATCTTTACATTATGTGTATATTTTTCTGTGTGCATACTATAATATAAAACTAGGACAGAAATAGCATTTTTAAGATATAGTAAAACAGGATAGGACTGGATTTTGGGTTTTTTTATAGTTCCAAATATTCTTTACCGATTTTGACGTATGTCTGTTTCTTTCTTCCATTTTAAGCAAAGTTAAGAGCTATTACTCCCAATCCACTGTAACAATTGTAATTAAATATAAAAATATCCTGGCTACTATGAGACTATTACTTCTTGAATTTTTTTCCAATGTAGAACAAAATTATTGAGAAATTAAGTGAATCCGCACCATTGTCAACATTGCTTTTATTTTTAATATTATTTTCCCAATCTTCACTGATTGCATTTTCCATGCAATTTAAAGTGGGATTTTCTTTTTCATATATATATATATTTCTAGACTTGGTGTCTCACTCTGCCCCCCAGCCTGGAGTACAGTGGCACATTCATGGCCACTGCAGCCTCGACCTGCTGGGCTCAGACGATCCTTTCGCCTCAGCCTCCCAAGTAGCTGGGAGTACAGGCATGTGCCACCAAGCCCAGCTAACTTTTTGATTTATTGTAAAGACGAGGTCTTGCCAAGTTGCCCAGGCTGGTCTCGAACCCGTGGACTCAGTCAATCCTCTTGCTTCGACCTCCCAAAGTGCTGGGGTTACAAGCTTGAGCCACCATGCCTGGCCCTTTTTCATATTTTTATCTAAGTGACAGATTCTCTTAGTTTGGTATAGTCCTCCAACACAAAGCAGATTACCACCTCAGTAAGTTACTTCAGGGGATGCATCTTTGGTCATTTTAGTTTTGTCTTTATTCTGTTGGTTCTGTCAGTCCTGCTGCTCTTTACTTCTGAAATAATGGAAGATGTGACTGTTTTGGGGTTTGTCATCCAATAGGGTAAAGATGAGGAACTGAGGTATCAAGTATTTATGTAGACACTGATTCCTTGAGATCCTGGGGACATTGAGTTTTTTGTGCTTTTGCCATAAGCTGCATCTGTAGGCTCATCAGAAAGAATCTTGTACACTAGAGAATTAGCCTCCATTTTTGACTTGGACTTGATGGTGGTGACACTGTCTTTTTATTTATACTTATACTTAGCTAGAAAAATATCTTTTTAACTATGTATAATAACATTTCTGAGCTTAATGTTGTGATTTGGCAGTCAAATACTATCAAAATGACACTGCCCTTTGCCCCCTCCCTTTTTTCCTCCTTTTAAAACAATGAGGCTGTTGGAGTTAAGAAACAGAAAGGAATCTGGAAAAAATTTATTTTCATTATAAGTGTTGACCAGAAGCCATTGGAAAGTGCACAGTACACTTTTGCTACATATTGTCAGCTTTTAAGAATGTTTTTGAAGATATTTTTCTGTGACTTCTGCCTCTGGATCTATTATGATAACTGCTTATAAATACTCTGCTGGTCTTGTTTTCAGAATCAAGTTGTGCTTTGATTTTATAGGAATTCAGAATGTTTAATAAACACTACAGATAGGATCATTTTATGACACAATTTATGTGAATGCTTATTTAGAGTATGTGACGTTATGGTATGCAATTTGTGAAAATAATATTTTTTTAACCCTCTCAAAAACCTGAATGGTTTCTCTTATCCCAGTTTTCAGAAGAGAAAAACTCAGGCATGGAGAAGTTAAGTAATGTGCATAAAGTCACACAACTGAGTCAGGATTTAATAATAATTAAATTATATTAATTTGAAGAGGAGACCCACAGTTTCATATTTGAGAAAAGAATGTCTTTTTCTCCTCTGAAGACACTTTTTTTTTTTGGAGTTGGAGTCTCACTCTGTCCCCCAGACTAGAGTGCAGTGGCACACTCCCGGCCACTGCAGCCTCGACCTGCTGGGCTCCGGCGATCCTTCCACCTCAGCTTTCCAAGTAGCTGGAACTACAGCCATGTGCTACCATGCCTGATTATTATTATTATTTTTTTTATTTATTGTAGAGATGAGGTCTTGCCAAGTTGCCCAGGCAGGTCTCAAACCCCGCGGGCTCAGGCAATCCATTCACCTCGGCCTCCCAAAGTGCTGGGATTACAGGCTGAACCACCGAGCTCAGCAAAAACACTTTATTACACAAATGACATTCAGACTTTTAAGTGTTCTGACTGTTATTTACTTTTTAAAAAATTGGAATAATATAGAAAGGGTTTAAAAAAATTCCTGAATTTTAAATGAATTAAAAACTCTGAATTGAGTTTTTTTGTGTGTTTTTGGTTAAATAAGTTCTTTTCTGCTTTATATTTCATTGTATACAAATTAAAGATTGTTTATATATTTAGTTGACGAAAGTGTCTGTTGCCAGACTTTGGAGATGAAAAGCTAAGGAAGTATAGTATTATAAAATTATAAAGTAAGTCTAAATAAAAGTTGTCAGTTGTTCTTTGCTAAATTTATTTGATGCCAAACTGTTCTGAAAATTTCAGAGTCAGGCTGAAATTTTTCTTTTTAATATCTGGGTTTGTTTCATTGAATTTTTATATTTTTGTTATCACTTAGACAAAATATAATTATGTAGAATTTTGTGAAAAGACATCTGAATTTAGAGATGAGTTGATGCTTTGTTTTGTAACAGTGTAATGGAGAGAGGGCTAAAGAAGAAGCAATTACACATTTTGAAAAGCTCTTTGAAATTCTGGAAGAGAGAAAATCATCTGTTTTGAAGGCAATTGATGCTTCTAAGAAACTAAGATTAGACAAATTTCAGAGTCAAGTGGAAGAATATCAGGGACTTCTAGAGAACAACGGGCTTGTGGGTTATGCTCAAGAAGTGCTTAAGGAGACGGATCAGTCTTGCTTTGTACAGACGGCAAAACAACTCCACCTCAGGTATTCTCTAACTTTAGCGTCTTTTCAGCAGTGCCATTAAATGCTGCTGTGTATTCCAGCTTTAGCTCTCAGTAGTTCATAGTGCCGTGTTAATGCGATGTATGTCTTGCTTGATTTTTAACTTAAATGTTGAATGAAGTGTAGATTTTCTTTTGTTAATCACATTATAGATATTTAGGCTGATTTGCCATTTTAAAGAATTATTTTTGTGTAAAATATATCTGTCTGCAGAATACAGAAAGCTACAGAATCTTTGAAGAGCTTTAGACCTGCAGCTCAGACTTCTTTTGAAGACTATGTTGTTAATACATCTAAACAAACAGAACTTCTTGGAGAATTGTCCTTTTTCTCTAGTGGTAAGTCTTAGTGAAGGCAAAATTTCTTTCTTTTAGTTTGAATTTGCACTGTACAGAAGAAACACAAATTCCCTTCAGAAATACAAATTCCCCCTAAACTGGGTGGGTGAGAGTGGGGTCGTAGGTACCCAGCTTCCAGCTAATAGTTGTTCTTCTCATTTTTTTCCTCATGTAGACCCCTTTAAAGTAAGGTTTTTGTTTTGTTTTGTTTTGTTTAAGGGAGTGTGGAGTAAGGCATGCTATTCATGTTATTCTGTAGCTTGTTTTTTATCTTTTTTAAATTTTAAAATGTATTCTGGATGACAAGATCTCATTATGGCTGCATAACATTCAGTTGTAGAAATATATCACACACAGACATGCTTGTAATTGTGTATGTTGTGGCTGGGGGATGAGAAGAGGGAGACTTCTGCTTTGCATTTCATAAGGTAGCATTTCAGGGCCCAGGTCATCATAGCATCCTGAAATCATATCTCATTTATGTTTTTTAAGTATGTTTCTAAGCACAAAAAGCTATATTCTGTTTGTGTGTTTTTAAACATTGCATGAATGGCATCATGTTGTATGTATCCTTTTTGTAAATTGCTTTTGTAAAAAAAAGTTTAAGATAAGTATTTGTTCAGTGAAGTTCTGGTTTAAAGCTATATTTTATCTGTTTATAGTATTTCATAAATAAATCATTTTCTTACTGAGAGACTTTTTTTCTATTTTTTTCCTATTATAAGAAATGCATTGAATGTTTGTCAATTTTTTTTTCTGTGCATGTGCTTTGGAGTTTCTCTCAGGCAGAAACTTAGAAATGGAATCTGTAGCCTAAAACTGACTCTAGGATGTTTAAATGTTTATGTTGCTGTATTAGTTCACTTGGGCTGCCATAAAGAAAGTACCACAGACCAAGGGACTCAAACAGAAATTCATTTTCTCAGAATTCTGGAGGCTAGAAGTCTGAGAACAAGCTGTTGGCAGGGTTGATTTCTTCTGAGGCCTCTTTCCTTGGTAGATAGCCATCTTCTCTTTGTGTCTTCACATGGTCATCCCTCTGTGTAAATGTTTCCTAATCTTCTCTTCTTATAAGGACACCAGTCTATTGGATTGGGGTCCATTCTGAGGACTTCTTTTTAATTTAATTACCTCTTTAAAGACCCCCTCTTTAAATGTAGTCACATTCTGAGGTACTGGAGTTTAGGATTTCAACATGTAAATTGGGGGGTGGGCAACACACAGTTCAGTCCATAACAATTGTTATGTTTGTGTTTTGCTGTTCCCTGGCAGGAAAGTCTTCTTACCTTTTCATTTCATTCAGCTCTCTGAGATTTCTCTTCTAGTAATGGTGACCAGTCAGAATTCTGGTGACCAGATATAATTATAGTAAAATTACTATAGGTACAGATTTGTAGATTTGGACATTCAGTCAAAGTAAATTTGTCTTGTTAAAAGTTAAAAACTCTGAAGGATTACAGTGACTCTTTAATTTTCATATCTGTACCTGAATCTGATATATACTTATTTATTATGACTATTTTTTTCAAATAGATGTTTGTTACTATTTAAAATACAGATTCTATTTCATACACTGTACTCTTTCTGTTTCCAAAATGTGTACTTGACTTATTTTTCTTATGTAAATATATATTAGCTTACTTGTGAGTTCTAGGTCCTCCTTTTCCTGTTGATATCAAAACAGTCTCTGGAAAGGTGAGGTTGAAGGTGTTTAATCTTGGGTTACACCAGTATATAATAGAACCCACTAAAATGGGTGGGTTAGAGTGGGATGGTAGACACCCAGCTTCCAGCTAGTAGATGTTCCTTTCATTTTTTTCCCCCCACATACACCCTTTTAAAGTAAGCAGTGCTTTTCAAAAGAGGGTGTGGAGTAGAGAATGTTATTCATGTTAATCTGTAACTTGTTTTATCTTTTTTAAATTTTAAAATGTATTCTAGGTGACTTTCCAGATCTCATTATGGCTAATATAACGTTCAGTTATAGAAATATACCATACACAGACATGCTTGTAATTGTTTATGTTGTAGTGGGGGATAAGGAGAAGAGGGGGATTTCTGCTTTTCATTTCATATCCTTCTCTGTGATTTGACATAAAAGTGTGCGGTAACTTTTATAACTTATTGTTCTTATTGTTTGATCCAGGTGGTTAAGTTTAGGAATTTGTTCTGTGGAAAGGATTATGCATATGCACAAAGATTTAGCTGTAAGATTTTAACCATTGTCTTTTTAGTAAAAAAGTAGAAACCTGTGTCTAAAAATAGACAATGAAGTGTTGATATGCTCATCTAGTAGTGTGCTATTGAGGGAAAATGCTGCCAGGATCTATACAAAATGGTTATAGTGATTATCTTTGGGCTACTTAAAATTTTTTATGTATATTCTTTAGTTTCTGATTTTCTTACAAAAATATATATCATGATTATATTCAGAAAAATTAAATTACTTTGCAACTCTACAAAAGAAAATGAGAGGAAACCATTGTTATAAACCATTGATAATTTATTAGATATACTCACCAAGCTTAGACTTAAAATATTTTTCAAGATAATAGTTTGCTTATGGGAGGACATAGGTAAAATATTTCAAGTCCAGGGATGTTATTTAGTAGAAATATGGTTACAAAATTAACCATATTGCATTTCAGAATTAATAATTTTAATAACTGAAGTTAAAATTGAGTTCATTTTTGTCTTATTTTTCATTTTTCTTTTTCCTTTTAGTTATGACTATACCTTATTTTATATTCTTTTTCTTATAAGGAGTATTCCCAATTTAGAAAACTCTTGGGCAGTATTGAGGTCATTAAGTATTGTCAATACATTATTTTTATTAAGGAAAAATACAGGCTTCAAAATATCAATATTCTAACATTGTTTTTTGTTTCATAATTCTTTCAGGTTTAGATGTGCCAGAGATCAATGAAGAACAGAGCAAAGTTTATAACAATGCCTTAATAAATTGGCACCATCCGGAAAAGGATATAGCTGATAGCTATGTTCTTGAATATCGCAAGATTAATAGAGATGATGAAATGTTGTCGTGGAATGAGATAGAAGTGTGTGGTACAAGTAAAGTTGTTTCAGGTCTTGAAAGCAATAGTGACTATGCTTTCAGAGTGAGAGCCTACAAGGGTTCAATTTGTAGTCCTTGCAGCAGAGAGTTGATTCTTCATACTCCTCCAGCTCCAGGTATTGAGAATAAAAAATGCATTAGAGTTGGCAGAAACCTCGATAAAATAGTCATTTTCTCCATGGATACCTATGTTGAAACAAGCTGTTGGTTTTTAAAGACTCTAGAAAAGTAGCTTTCATATCCAGCTAGCATTTAAAAATGAAATGAATACTTGAATTTTACTTTGTAGGCTGAGAACAGGATTAGTTTTTAACTGATGTCAGATAGAAAAACAAAACAAAACATGAAAGGAAGACTTTTGGGTGAGTAGAGTTATTAAACTGGCATTAAAATAGCATAAATGCTACCTTAAAAGTTAATTTAAATAATTCTATATTTTTTGGTCAGTGCAGGAAGTCAAAGGATTTAGGTGCAATATCCTAAAAATGTAATTTTGATTTAATTTAATTCTGATTTGCCTGGATTTTCTAATCCAATGATTCTCAGCACTTTGGGATGGAAGACACATATTAGAACCACATGGGTAGCTTTCTCTCCCACACATGAAAGCTCCTCATGTTTAATAACTCTTCCTTCCCCTTCCAAGTTAAAAGCCACTGATATTTTGGGTGTGGGAATGCCTAAAGATTTTTAGAGAATGAGAATGATTGTACAGGTTAGTTGGTGGTCACTACAGTGTCTCCATAAGCAAGTGATGTTTAGAACTACACTTGTGCTTAGTCTGATTAGCAAGAAAATGTTTTTCCCTGTCAGTCGCTACCTTACAGATATGTTCCGTTAGTTTTTAGACCTCATTGCTTCCTGCCTGTTTTTAGTGGCTTATATACCCATATTTTCTGCACTCTGCCCTTCCTTCCCTTTTTGTCCAAAATAGAAAAGCACTATTTGTTTTTCATGTGCATTGTGGCTTTAACTAAAATTAGAATACAAATATATAAGGTTGACTAAAATTATTTTTCTTGAATTTTAACAAAATTTAATTGAAAGTTTAAGGATGCATTTGCAAGTATGAGGTAAATATTTTATGATTTTTGCTGTTTTCTGCTTTCTTCTCTAGTCTCTCAGACTGTAAGTGGAAGAAAAAAGAAACCTGGACATAGCTACTGTTTTCAGTAACACAGTGAGGGGGGAAGGAAGAAAGGAAGTGTTAAGGATTGTCTTCCTTTTTTTGGAGAGAAGACCTATGAATAAGGGGTGACCCTTTACATTTGTTGTGCAAACTAGAAGACTTTTGAGATTTAAAGGAAGCACAATTAATTATGCATTACCAGGAGGAAAGGTCAGCCTACATATGGGAAATGACTGTAGTTTGCTGGCAGCCATTTTTTTTAAGAGACAGGGGTCTCACTATGTTGCCCAGCCTGGCCTCTAACTCCTGGACTTAAGCAATCTTCCCACCTCAGCTTCCTGGAGTAGCTGGGACTATAGGGGTGTGCCACCATGCTTGGCAGCCATTTAAAAAAATTGTGGTATAGTATAGATAAAATTGATCAGTTTAACCATTTTTAAGTGTACAGTTGAATTAGGTACATTTACAATATTGTTCAGCAGTCACCACTCGGATATCTAGAACTTTTTCATCATCTCAAACTGAAATTCTGTACTCATTAAACAATTATTTCTGTTCTTCCTCCTCCCAGAGTCACCTGGTAATCTCTCTTCTACTTTTTAACTCTATGAATTTGCCTGTTTAAGTATCGTATACGTAGGATAATGCAGTTTGTCCTTTTGCATATGGCTTATTTCAGGGTTTAACCATGTTGTAGCATGTATCAGAATTTCCTTTTTTAAGGCTGAATAATATTCCATTGTTTGTTTCTACCACATTTTCTTTATCTTTTCATCTATTTATGAACATTTGTGTTAATTTCCCCATTGGCAAGTTCAGCGTTATGCTTAGTGGATTTGAGTTGATAAAGACTTATGAGAGTGATGCTATCTCCATTATATAGATGAAGAAATTGAAGTTTAGGTCAAACTCTAGTTAAATGCTTGAACAGAGATTCAAACTCAGGTATCTGAATCAGAAGACCATACTCACTCTCCCCCTACCTCCCTCCCTTCCTTCCCACTATATCATGATTCTCATGCTGGTTGATAAGGAAAAAGCTATATTAAAACAGCTAAAATTCTCCACATTTACAAAGTTTGGAATAGATATTTAAGAAAATATATAGGTATTTATGAAAATGTACAGCCCCTTATTTTAAGGATAGAACAGGTCTAATAGTGTAAAGTATGTATGATAGATTTTCTATCTCTGTTTCAAAGAGCTGTATTCATAAATGTTCACATACATTTAAAATATTTTCTTCTGTTTTTGAGATTTCTGAAGATCTTCAGGTATAGAGAATACACTGGAAGTTATTGCTAAGTAGGGTTTTGGAGAATTAATTGCTAAGTAGGATGACACCTCCTTCTTCCTGACTTCTTTTCCATAATTTCTATTTGAAAAATCTATCAAATTTAACCTTAAATTATAGCAGAGTTAATAAATAATTTTCATTCTAATTTTAATTTTAAGCCTTTATTTAGTTTTCAGTTTTCTCTTTGATGAAAAATGTGGCTATAATAATGAACACCTCTTGCTGAACCTAAAGAGAGACCGGGTAGAAAGCAGAGCTGGATTTAATCTTCTCCTTGCTGCGGAACGTATCCAAGTGGGTTATTACACAAGCTTGGACTACATTATTGGAGACGTTGGAATTACAAAAGGGAAATACTTTTGGGCCTTCCGTGTGGAACCATATTCATACCTGGTGAAAGTGGGAGTTGCTTCAAGTGATAAACTTCAAGAATGGCTCCGTTCTCCCCGTGATGCAATTAGTCCAAGGTAGATTCTTGTATTGATCTAGGACTCGATTAATGCTTATAAAAGTAAATATACTTGTTAAGTAAGATAAGCCTGATTTATTACATTTGGAGTATGCATTTCTTGAATTCAAGGATCTTCGCTGTGCTTATGTGGTTTGAGAAAAACAGGTTTTCTCACACATTGAATAATGAGATTTAGCAGTTAGTTTCTAATGCCATGAGGGAAAAAAGTCTTGTTTTGGATACCTCTTGATTATGATATAGCTTCACAGTTGTAAGACTTGAAAGTGTTTTTATCATTTAATCTAGGTGACATATAGCATTACCAACATACATAATATAGTGCCTCTAGTTTCCATACTTCACAAATGATATTAAGTTGTTCTTTTGTTATGGAACAAAGTTTCTAAAAATTTTCCCATAAGTCAGGTAGGCATGTTTCCACAGTAAAGAATTTCAATTTTTTAAAAAAATTTATTAAAAAAAAAATTATTTTAAAGATGGTAGGGTACACTTTAGGGTTAGGTATGTAAGTGGTTATTGTACAGGTAGAATTTGGACCTCCCTTTGGTCCCTGGTTTGAGATCAGGAACCCTTATTGATGTTTTGTGTTCCCTGGCAGTTTCCAGCTACTGCCAATTCCTTTCTATAGTATTATGTTAAATGTTCGGGGTTTACTTATGAGTGAGAACATGTAATACTCAGTTCTTTTGTTTCTGTGATAGATCACTGAGTTAGTATAAACTCTTTAGAGATTGACTAATAGAGATCGTACTTTAGTTATTTTAGAAAGAGTAAGGTGAACTAGCCTAGAATAGTTTTGACTACTTATGTGAGCAGTATTCCAGGTTAACAATCTGTATGAAAGGAAAAACTTTTTGAAGAACAAAATGAGAAATTTACATAACATTGAAAGTTGTAATAGGGAAATGATTGATTAAACATAGGGTATGTCTACCGGATAGAATATTAGTATTAATGTTTGAAACATTTATAATATGAGAAATACTAGAAATGAAAAAGCCTGATTAAAATTGTTGGTGCAGTATGTCATATGCAGTGTGATCCCACATATATAAAAAGTAAGATATGCATATTGAAAAAAATGGGAAACATGTATCAAATATTCCATAATGTTTTATAACTATAAAATATATAATTTTATCAAATGTATAAAATTAAGTATTATAATTTTATAATTAGATATCATGTTTTATAATAGAGGGAAATAAGCTTCATAAGACTTATTTACATCATAGATCATGTAGAAATTCCAACCAGGAAATAGAGTTCTTAGGAGAAGTGTGAAACATGCTTTTTTCTCTTGCATTATTTTGCAGTGCCCATTTTATTTTATTTAGCCTGATAATTCCTTGGATTAGCGCACATATCTTGTCTTTATCCTAAGCAGTTATGTGTTGCATAGTGATGAGAAATGTGTAGTTAGGCAATTTCATCATTGTGAAAACATCGTAGTATTTATACAGATCTAGATTAGATGGTGTGGCTTGCTACACACCTAGTCTATATAGTATAGCCTGTTTTTCCTAGACTATAAACCTGCACAGCACAAGAGTTCAAATGACTCCTGGAGGGAAGACCTAAAGTGAGGACAGGTGGGACAAAAAGTATAGCTTTACTTCATAAAACCTTCTGCTCTTAGCCTGTTTTAATCATGTGGTTACTGTAATGAATACTGTGCACAATTGTAACACAATATTTGTGTATCTAAACACAGAAATGGTACACCTGTGTAAAGCACTTACCATGCATGAATGGGGCTTGCAGAACTGGAAGTTCTCTGGATGAGTCAGTGAGTGAGTGGTGAGTGAGCGTGAAGGCTTAGGACATTGCTCTACACTACTGTAGACTTTATAAACACTGTGTGCCCAGGCTACATTAAATTAATTAACATTTTTTTTCTTCAATAATAAATTAATCCTAGCTTTGTTTTATAAACTTTAATTTTTTTAAACTTTTGGCTCTTTTATAAGAACACTGCTTAAAACGCACACTGTTCAACTGTACAAAGAACTTATTTCTTTATAGTTTTATCCTATAAACTTTCTTCTATTTTAAATTACTTTATTTTTTACTTTTTAAACTTTTTTTTATTAAAAACTAAGACATGCCCCACAGGAAGCTAGAGTTAGGAAAAAAAAAACAACAACTAAGACAAATACATAGTAAGGCCTACATAGGGTCAGGATCATCACTACCTCTGTTTTCTATCTTCATATCTTGTCCCACTGGATGTCTTCAAGGGCAACACATGTAGGAAGCTGTCATCTCCTGTAACAGCAATGCCTTCTTCTGGAACTGTTCCTGAAGGACTCGCCTTAGCCTGTATTACAGTTAATATTTTTTTATATGTAGCAGGAGTTAAACTCTAAAATAACAACCAAAAGTATCATTGTCAATACATAAACCAATAACATAGTCATATCACTGTCAAGTATTGTATACTGTATATAATTTTATGTGCTATATTTTTATACTACTGGCAGCGTAGTAGATTTATCACCACAAACATGTAATGGGTTGCACTACAATGTTAAAATGACTACCATATCACTAGGCATTAGGAATTTTTTAACTTTATTGTGATTTTATAGGACCACTGTTGTATATGCAGTTCATTGTTGACTGAAGCATCTTTATGCAGTGCATAACTGTATGTGATTATGTGCTATAAATATTTAATCTTTGACCAGTCTTTCTCCCCTCCCCCACTTTTTTGTAGGCCAAAGTTATTAATGATTCTTTAGGTATTTCTCATGTATATATCTAGATGAAAGTGGTGTTTTATGACAAGGAAATTGGGGCTGAGTCTGTGGTATAATTCTAAATGTATGAATTTAATTTAATAGAAAACTTTTGATATAAAAATTATTTTAACTTTAAATCAATGTATATTATCTTATAAAATTGCTTAGAAGATGCTTAGAGACCTATAGATACAGATACAGATACTTTGTTTATGTGTTGTCTTTTAGATATGAGCAAGACAGTGGTCATGACAGCGGAAGTGAAGATGCCTATTTTGATTCTTCACAACCCTTTACCTTAGTTACTATAGGCATGAAGAAATTTTTCATACCCAAGTCACCTACTTCTAATGAACCTGAAAATAGAGTTCTTCCCATGCCAACAAGTATAGGGATTTTCCTTGATTATGATAAAGGTAGAGTGAGTTTCTATGATATGGATCACATGAAATGCCTTTATGAGCGCCAAGTGGACTGTTCGCATACCATGTATCCAGCATTTGCTTTAATGGGCAGTGGAGGAATTCAGCTTGAAGAACCCATCACAGCAAAATATCTAGAATACCAAGAGGACATGTAGTGTAAACATCTGATGTGACTTCGGATGACAAATGTGAGCAAAACAATGCCTTGGTGTTGACTTCGTAACTAATTACATTTCATTAAGTATTCTGTCCACCACACTTGTTCTTGTGTATGATTCTTCTTAAAACACAGAAAACCTAAACAGCCTTGTCTCTTCCATGTCATTGTTCCGCCTTTCACAAACAATGGGAGTGCCTGGTTAATTCTGAAATGTTAACTTTGCAACTGGATTATGGTATTTCTCTTTATGCACAGGAAGTCTAATTTATTTATGTCAGCTGGGATGCTGATACATCCCTTTTTCTGGGGGTGGGTGGGAATATAAAAGTATTTATTATGCTTCTTTTGTGTTTGGTTTTTCATTTTTATATCATGTTTATGTCCTAAGAGAAGGTATTTTTTAATGGTTCATGGATGGGAACTAGTACTAAGCAGCGTGTCTTGAGTTTGTTTTTAATAGGTAAACAAAATTCTAGGTAGGTACAAAGAAAAATGCCATAAAAAAGGTAGTATATTTAAGTGGAAAATTGTGTATTTTAAAGTGCATAATTATTAAAAGTATATTGCCTGGGAAATGAATACTACTTTTTTTTATTTTTGAGACCATAAACTGTATTGATAAGGACATTTTAAATAATTTCCTAGCCGGGCTCGGTGACTCAGCCTGTAATCCCAGTGCTTTGGGAGGCTGCGGTGAGTGGATTGCCTGAGCCCACAGGTTCGAGACCCACCTGGACAACTTGGCCAGACCTCATCTCTACAATAAATCAAAAAATTAGCCAGACATGGTAACGCGCGCCTGTAGTTCCAGTTACTTGGAAGGCTGAGGTGGAAGGATTGCCGGAGCCCAGCAGGTTGAGGCTGCGGTGGCCGGGAGCGGCCACTGGACTCCAGTCTGGGTGACAGAGTGAGACTCCAACTCAAAATAAAATAAAATAAAATAAAGAATTCCCTTAGCTGTAACACCCATTAACCGGCATGTGTAGTAAACATGGCTTCTTACAGGAAACACAAAGTTCTCAACTAACACATGAAACTATTCACTTTATGTAATTTTTTTTTTCAGAAAAATTTACCTTCAGATTTTCTTACTCTATGAAAATATTTGTGCTCGTATCATATAATTATTTTTCAGAAATATTAGTGAAAATGGACTGATACTGAAGTTGTATTTGTTCTTTTGCTTTCTTAGTGTGTCTTGTGATTTTCATTTTTTGGCATAAATATTACATATCTGGTTTATGTTTATGTGTTTGAAAAGTTCATGATATATTTTAGTCGTATTAAAATATTATAAAATGTGTTCTATAATATATTCTTCTTTAATTGTTTAATTATTTGTTTAGTTCACTTGTATGGCATTTTTCTATGGCTCATTGTTTGGTAATAAGTATTTGTAATTTAAGCAAATAAAAATATAAATTTAATTATTTAGGAATTACTAACTAAGATCATAATGACTATGTATCTTTTTAAAAGTTGTAGACTCTTTTAATTTGAGGAATTACATTTTACCTAATTTTGTATATTTATTTTTGCAAGAACAGGTAGGTGGTTTTTATTTAAACTGAATATTTTTTTGAAGTTAAAAAATGTTTAGAAACTATACTGTTATTAATGCTTAACTGAGTAACCAAAACTCTTAGGCATTTTTTTAAAATTCTATTTTTCATGGAAATTTATTTTTCAAACTGGTAGCATTAAATTAGCTTTTTATCACTACCATCCCCATACCCACCAACCGAAGTAGAAAATATTGTGGAGAATTTCAGTGTTTGGTAGTCTTTGTTACTTTCCTATCTATGAATAGCACTTTATGACATAGACTAAACTAAGCAAATACTGCAGTGTTTTATGGATCATTGTGCAATAAAGCTGCTAAAGTCACATGTGTGGTTAAGTTTGATACTCTCAAGTCTTGTGCAAGCACATTTCATGTAGACATTTTTAAAAGCTTTAACAGGAATAGGAAAGTGTTTCAAATATTGAACAGTTTTCTATAAGTTGTTCAACTGTGTTTATTTCATTTTTAATAAAAATTAAAAAGAATTCAAGTGTAATTGCCACATTTCAGGAATTTTTAGTATGTTTATATGAAAAATTGAAAGATTATGAAAAGATGATTAGCTGCACATATTAACTTAGAGCTAAACTTTTATATAAAATCATTTTGAACATTTATGAATTAATTTTAATTCTTATGAAAGTGATCATCAGAAAAGCTTAACATGAAACTTCAATTGCTTAATTGATCAGTTTGTCTAATATTTCTTTTTCTGATCCAAATGAGTGTTCCTTTAGTTCCTAGTAAAAGTTTATTTTAATAATAATAGTTCAAGGCTATCTCTATGACACTGAATAGTAACTTCTCAGATTCACAGTTTCTTTCTTGAAAGTAGTGGGAGTCAGAGCTATCTCCTTTTGAAGATTGAATATAACCTGGGCCTGGTAAATCATTTGCCATAGCCCATAAGCTGATTAGGCCCTGGAAGTGTGTCCCATATGGAAATATAATCAATTTTATTGCTATAGAAAATAATTGGGAACTAGTATTATAGGCAAGTATACCCATTTTTTGTTTTTTTGATTTGGAGTCTCATTTTTGTTGGCCAGGCTGGAAAGCAGTGGCAAGCTCATGGCCTCCACAGCCTCGACCTGCTGGGCTTAGGTGATCCTTCCCCCTCAGCCTTCCAAGTAGTTGGAACTACAGTCACATGCCACCATGCCCGGCAAGTTTGTTTGTTTTTTAGTTGGAGTCTTACTCCGTCACCCAGGCTGGAATGCAGTGGCACGCAAACTCACAGCCACCCCAGCGTCGACCTGCTGGGCTGCCATGATCCTTTCACTTCAACCTTCCAAGTAGCCTGAACTACAGGCACGCGCTATCGATGTATTGTAGAGACTAGGTCTCCCAAGTTGCCTGGGCTTGTCCAAACCCGTGAGCTCAGGCAATTCACTCGTCTTAGCCTTCCAAAGGGCTTTTTGTGATTTATTGTAGAGACAGTTCTTACCAAGTTGCCCAGGTTAGTCTCAAATCCCTAGGCTCAAGCAATCCTCTTGCCTTTTGGCCTCACAAAGTGCTGGGATTATAGGCTGAGCCACTGCGCCCAGCCAAGAATACTCTTAAAAAAAGAAATTATGTGCTATCAGACAGATTTTCATTTCAAGCATTTATCTGCTTGTCTATGGGACTCTCTTGATAATTGGAGTTTTGCTTGGGACTCTCTTGCTTTAAAAAAATAAACTTGAAGGAATTTAGTTTTGTTAGGTTTAACTTGGAACTATTCCATTCATTTCACAAAAAGTTTTTTTGTTTGTTTGTTTACTTGTTTAAGACAGAGTTTTATCCTGTTGCCCAGGCTAGAGTGCAGTAGCATGATCACCGCTTTTTGCAGCCTTGACCTCCTGGGCTCTGGTGATCCTCCTGCCTCAGCCTCCTGAGTTGCTGAACTGTAGGCATGTTTCACCATGCCCTGCTCATTTTTCTGTTTTTGTTGTTTGTTTGTTTTGTGTTGATGGTTTGTAGAGGTGAGAGTCTTGCTTTGTTGCCTAGGCTGAATTACAGGCCTAGGCAACAAAGCAAAGCCCACTTAATAAAAAGTTTTTAAACTGCTGCTATCTATGAGGCATGGTGCTGTGTGGGAGGTATAGAGTGAACAAGACAACCTAGCTAGGTTCTGGCTTTCATAGAGTTTACTTTCTAGCAAAGAGAGATGATGAAAATGAGGAGGGGCTAGAGAGTGCTTGAGGTGGAGGGTAGCCCTTCTGAAGAGGGTACTATAAGTTTGACACCTGGTTGCTAAGGAGCTGCCATGCAGAGATGTAGGTGATGACCACTTGCGGTAGAGTGAACCAGAAATGCAGAAAGGCTTAGGTTTGGTGAATTGTTCTGAGCTCTGGCCAGAAATGAATTCGCCCCCTGGTCAAAGTTCATGAAATGACTGCATAGTGATATGGACAGCAGTAAAGAAGGAAAGAAGCAGTTGTGAGAACTTGAAAGTCTAGCAACAGCCTGAAGCCATTACTGTCTCTAGAATGAGAAGGACAAGGGGAGGAAATCAAGTTTCTTAGATCTCAATGAGAGAAAGTTAAGGAACAAGTTGCCTGGTGAGATCGGAGGTTGCTTTGGGTGGGTGGCTGTTGCCAGAGATGTGGTTTCATTCTCCTCCTGATTTGCTGATGCTGTTTATTAGCCAAACCCAACTGGAAACCAGCCCACAAGGGCTCTTCAGGGTTGCAGATAGCAGTTGAGGGGCAGAGGAAGGAAAGAATAGACCTGGTGGTGACTGAGGGGCTAGAGTAAATGGGAAATAACTGGCACAAATGGGAAGAAATTTGGTGTATTTGAGGGGAAAAGGGAGGCTAATGGTTATTGGGCTGACTGCTTAAATAAGGATATTTATAATATTCTGACATGTTAGAACATATTCAAAGAAAAGGAACTGTTTTGAAGACATAGAAAGCTACGCAATTTTCTGTTTTGGCTTTCTGGTATTTCTGTTCCCAGTTGGCTGTTCCTTGTTGAGGTCATCTGTGAGACTAATAGAGTTGCTACTTCTTTGAGTTTATATCTCTTATCTGAAACTTTGTTTGGAATAGAGAAGAATAAGTGTTATGGTTGAGAGAGAGAGAGAGAGAGAGAGAGAGAGAATCCTTAGAGTACTGGCTAGACCTCCCTGTAAGATTGTAGAATACTGTCAAAATGAAAATAAATTGAAGTGTATGATGTGCGAATTGTAGACTGTAGTCTGACTGCCTACAGGTAATTTAAAAATACTTAATAAAACATTTCCCTTTTTTCCTAGATTCCTTTTTAACCTATCTGAATTCAGTGGTTGGTTTAATTTTTAAGCATTGCATCCTTTCGGAAGACTTTAGAAAGTTCCTTGGTGTTTAGGTTGGTTTGTGGTTCAAATGTAGTCTTGAGTCTGTGCTGAAGGGATGAATATGACTGCTTATGGAGATCTGCTTTCTTTTTGATCTCCCAAGTTAAGAGTCTTCTAAGCACAAAGCTAATATTCTTTGGAATAGCATATCTGTCTTGTGATCTTAAGAATTGGATCGAGTTTCCGATGTTGGGTGGTGAGCACTGTTAGCTGCTATAGAAGTATTTTGTAGTCTCTTCAAAATAATGTGTATATTATACTCCAAAATAATCAATGCAAGTTTATAAAGTCAAATAATGATAAAGTCAAATATTAACAGCAGACTTCCAGTCCTTCATCTCCACCCTCATCCAGCTTCTCAGAATTGGCAACATTAAACTCTTGTTTCTTCTGTATTCATATCTATATTAATAATACTCATTTTCTACTAACATTATTAGGCATTATTTGTCAACATCATGTAATACTAAATGGGAATTTTAGTATCTAAATATTGTTTAATATTCAACCA